TGTGTCACACAGGCTAGAGTGCAATGACATCATCATAACTACTAGCACATGCTGCCACACCTGGCAATTTTTTTTTTTTTGTAGTTTTTGGCCAGGGCTGGGTTTGAACCCACCACCTCTGGCATATGGAGCTTGTGCCCTACTCCACTGAGCCACAGGCACTGCCCCACACCTGGCAATTTATTTTTATTTTTCTTTTATTTGAAGACAGAGTCTCACTATGCTGCCCTCAGTACAATGCCGTGGTGTCACACCTCACAGCAACCTCAAACTCTTGGGCTTAAGCAGTTCTCTTGCCTCAGCCTCCCAAGTAGCTGGGACTATAGGTGCCCGCCACAATGCTCAGCTATTTTTTTGTTGCAGTTGTCATTGTTTAGCAGGCCCAGGCCAGGTTCAAACCTGCCAGCTTTGGTGTATGTGGCCGGTGCCCTAACTGCTGAGCTATGAGCGCTGAGCCATGCAATTTTTATATTTTAGAGAGATAGGGTCTTGCTGTGTTGCTTAGGCTGGTTTTAAGCTCCTGGGCTCAAGCCATCCTCTCTCCTTGGCCTCCCAAAGTGCTAGTATTGCAGGCATAAGGCACCATACCCAACCTATTTTTCTATCAATGGTATACCTCTACTAGAATTCCCATGAATACCACAAATTTTGCTGTCTGTCACAAACCTACTCCTCTCCACCTCCCTTCCACCACAATTACGTAAACATTAGGCTTTCCTTATATTTTATATCTCAACAAATGGTGCCATCATCTGTTGGACAAGCCATAAATCTGCTTTTACATAATCTCTTCCCCTGCCTGTTTCTCTACTGCCTCATCTTCCAGCTGTCCGTTAGTGTGTAATCCTCCTTTCAGCCATACCAAACAACCTGAGTAGATCTCCCAAATGAGGTATGTTCTTATTTACCTCTATACCCTTGCTCATACTACTACTCTCTCATTCTTTTCTTGATTCTTTAAATTCAAGCATCACCTCCACTAGGAAACTTTCTCTGACTTCCCTCCTCAACTTTCCTAAGCTAAATCAAGTAGTTGTTTTATTTTCTCCTATTTATTCCTATACATATCTCAGAGGACTTGTGGCAATTTTGACTACTATCTATGCCCCTGATCAAAATTATAAGCTAGTTAAACACAGGAAATATGTTTTTTACTCTGTTTCTGTAAATGCTGAATAAACATTTTGAATTAATAAATGAAAGGTGATACATTTTTATTCTCTTGGTTTTTTTCTAATAGCCTTATTCTGATCATGGAGTTCAAGCAACATATCACCAGGTTTATGCTCCAAGTGCTATTGCTATGCCTGCACCTGTGATGCAGCCTGAGCCAATTAAAGTAAGAAATTTGTTTTAATTTTTTTGTTTTTCTTCAGTTACATTTCAGATTTTTCAAAACTTATTCTGGAAAGGAACAACTTTGGATATTTAAATCACATTTGTGATCAGAAGTACAGAATTAGTGAACTCTGTCATGTGAAAGAAATACAACTCTAATTATAATTCCGAGTAATTAGTTTTGTAGAATTTATGAACCAGACATAGTCAGAATTTTCTTATTGTGATAATATATAACTTAAACTTTACCATTTTAACTAGTTTTAAGTGTACATTTAGTGGCGTTAATTATATTTGCAATGCTGTACAACCATCACCACTTGTGAACTCTTGTCATTCCAAATAGAAATTCTGTACCCATTAGGAAATGATTCCTTCTTTCTCCTTCCCCTTTCCCCCAGTCCCTGGTAACCTCTAATCTACTATTTTTCTGTCTCTAAGAATTTGCCTATTCTAGATATCTCATGTATAGTGCTCACACTTTGATTATCTGTGTTGATGGTATGTGATATTTATGAGGAAATGAAAACACATAATGATCTCCTCTTCCAGTTTAGCAATTGTGCTGATGCTTGCTAAATCAGATTCAGGCCAAAGAATGATAATCTATATCTGTGTATATGTTCAATATATCCTGACTATCTACTGTGTAGCAGAGAATTCTTCCTATTCTCTTATGACAGAGTTTCTTAGTGAAACTTGTTTATCATCACTTAAGGGAAATAAACTTTATCTACAGTACAGAACCACAGATTGATTAACTGTTGAGATCTTAATATGAATCTTGTGTGCAGTGTACTTTGGTGAGGAAAGTAAGCATACTCTGCAATAAAATGATGGAGACTAGCTATTTCACACTCATACTTCTGACTCATCCTATATATTGAACTCAATACCAAGAGTGTCTTAATTTAAGGAGCCTCCGGACTCACTGCCATTATACTCACTGTATCTCTTCACTCTATTTACCACTGTACTGCTAACAGAAAATAAAACCATAATTAATTTTGAGATAATGTCAGAAACCTAGAGTGTAACTAAACTTTATTGAGATTTCATTTTTAGTATTGTTAGAAAATCTAGAACAGACTTACTTGGATGTTAACATTTTCTCCAGACATACTTCTGTAGAGATAGCTGCTATTGCTATGCCATATAAGATAAGTACCAGTTATTTTCAGTTACTGAGATAGATAATATGCATGAATTACAAATGATACTATGCATTTATTACAAATGATGAAAATTATATTGCTTGAATAATTCTAATAGAAGATGGAGTGGTGAGTGGTATTAGAATAGGAGAAATTTCCAAAGAACATTAATGTAAATGTTCCTAATTTAAAATATAATACTTCTACTTTAAGTGTATACATTTCTCTAAATTTTCTTAGACCTATAAGTAGGTAACAGCAGAAATTGTACAGTGAAACTGGTATCTTATTCTTTAATCATATAAAAATTACCAAATTCTCCTTTTATTATAGATGAAAAAATTTAATAAACTTCCACAGTCAAAACTGGAATATGAGGCAATTGTATACAATTTTGTATTTCTTGTTTTCACTTTTTAAGGTAAAGTGTTCTATGAATTTTATACTTAATATTTTTCTTTAGATTTGGTATCCCTGAATGTAAAA